GAAGATGCATGACAAATTGGCCCGGCCACTTGAGAGTGTTTCTCTAGTATATAAAGAGCACAAAATGATGGGTGATGATGAAGTTGTAAGCCGCAAAATTAATGTGATCATTGGGCGCTACAATTCACTGCTGTAGTAGTATTCCGAGGCTCCTGAATCTATAGCAGCCTGCCTGATACAGAAACCTAATAGTTGTACCACTGACAGAACCTTTCTGGTAGATGTGTTGGTGACGGACTGCCACCTGGCTGTTTGCACTTCCTGAGAGGGTTGGTGAAGATAGGTTGCGAAGACGTCTGCGCTTTGTCCGCTTTTTCCCGGTTGTTTGACGTCTCTGCAAGATATTATAGGAAAGCTAGGGGACTCATTAGAGATTTTCGGAAGTGCTCAGATCCGCCGAGTTTAAACATCGATAAAGAAGTATTCAATTTATAAGACGATAGCTGTTACAATAAACTGATGGAATGCAAATGATATTGGTTCCATAACTAAGCCTTAATCTCAATCTATGTGCTGAGTTCAAAAAAGCGGTGATACGGAAGCTCTTCATTGAAACTCATAGAGGATCAGGAGTTATTCTTCAATCGAGAGAAGCGTACAATAACAAATCAGTATGTGGCGACTCATTTTCACAAATATATTGGATATAAGAAGACATGTCTGTGCTATAAAAAGGCGGACTATGCTGAAATGTGGAGCATTTGTCCAACGCAGAATGGCTGTTAGGAAGGGATGAGTCATCTGTGGATGAACACTGGGAAGGGAGTTGTCAAAGAGATTGTTCACACAGCAATTTCAGATACCGTCCCTTTATTTACAATATATATATAGGTTGAGAACAAAATAAAACGAACAATTGTTTTCGATAAATTCTTCTTCAGGCTCTACAATTATAAATCCATTAATTTAAGCATACAATAGCCAGTCAGTAAAGGCAAATTAGAATCATATCAGAAAGTGCCATTTTAGCCGACTTGGTTCATACTGGACACCCGATAAAACTTGATCAGGCGTTCTCCGTGATTTACCGCGTTCCTTGTAATTTATCTAGAGGAGCTTGACTACGTGATCTATCAGTAGCTGAAGCGGTGGCAATTAATATCGAAAGACCAACTCTTTGTATAGAAAACAAGTATGTCCAACCTCTGTTTACCTTGGCCTACAACAAAGCCAACAAATCCTCCATAAACATTAACACTATAAATTCCTATCACAATTTTCTTCTTCTATTCCTCTGTTTCATTGACAATCGTTCATTTTCGACTTTTATGATTTCATGACCTTTCTTATGATTTTATTACCTTGGGTAAAAGTAGTGCTTTTCTAACTTGTTATCGTATTTACAAAATCCTATTCGTTCCACATCATTATATTCATTATCATTATTATTATTTGACAATCATTCACCAATAGTACTTGTAATTTTACACCATATTATCGTTATTACTTTACAATTATTCTTATTGTCGGTGTTTTCAACTTATGTCTAGACCGCCCCATTCGTTGGTTTATTATTTTCATTTTGTCTCACACACCCTAATTACACTCACTCTCAAAACCTGTAATTTTCTGTTGACTATATTTATATATACACACACATCACTAAATTAAATTACTTCATCTGATTTTGTCCCATGTTCTCATTGACCATGCATATTAAAAAAACTGACTGACCATTTGGTAGTGTGGAATATTCCCATATTATGAATTAAAAGCCAATCTGAACGAAGAATATTCTTTTGAATAATTTCTCTTCAGGTTCTTACAATTATGAAATATGATATATTTGTTGTCGTTGCAATAATGATAGCCAGTTATGCGGCGGATACATTTTTAACGTAGAGTAACAGAGTAGTTATGGGGTGTCAAAATAAATAGTCCTATTTGAGTGTGACAAACGTCGTGCTAGGCTGAAATCGATTACAAAATTTTGTAAAACGGGAGACAATGGCGGTGATTAATCATAATAGATTTGGGGAATGTGGGGTAGGAGAATTGACAAGTAAGTCAGTTCAAGGTTACTGAAGGTATCAGGTGAGTGAGTGGCTAGTACAAAGTGGTCTGTGTTAAACAGGAGACGACAACAAATATTATATTTTATAATTGTAAGAACCTGAAGAGGAGAAATTATTGAAAAGAATATTCTTCGTTCAGATTGACTTTTAACTGACTATTGTTACATCCCATCCCATCTTATACTTGTCCTACAATACACTTTCTGATATGGCTCAAATTTGCCTTTACTGACTGGCTGGCTATTATATGCTTAAATTAATGGATTTATAATTATAGAGCCTAAAGAAGAAGAATTAATTGAAAGCGGCAATTGTTCGCTCTAACTATTTTGTTCTGAATAAATTATGGGAATATTCAATTTATATATACATATAGATGAACTAATACAATATTAGTTCTGTCACAATGACACCAGCTTTTATTGTTAATATGTAGTACATTGATGAATACTATTCATTTGGTGATCACGTTAACAGATCATCACTCACAGCTTCTAATTTTTTTTCCTTCACGTTCCCCAGTGGAACATAGGGTCTCAAGCTAGAAGCTTGAAGTTTCTGTAGCAGTGTTTATTTTACAGGATGGGGTTGCTAGCCTCATGCCCAACCTTTCCTCTTTACCAGCATTATTTCTGGCTTAGCCAGGTAAAGGAGTGCGTCGGCCGGGGATCGAACCCGGACCATGTGCATGGTCGGTGAGCGTCCTAACCGCTATGCCACCGACGCACTTAAAGCCAGCTCCTCGACCGGGAATCGAACCCGGACCTTCCACGTGACAGGCGGAGATACTCACCGCTTCTAATTTGTTTTGTTCAAATTGATACTTATTGGTCGTGACATTGTTCATGTGTTTGTATTTATTAAACTTTAAGAAGGAATTGTATAAGTGACAATGTTTGTAGAGTATTCAGTTGACAAGTTCTCTCTGAAGTTGATGAATTTATGAAATAGTGTTCTTTGCACAGATGGGGGAATGGTAATAGAATACAGAAACATGGGTGTGACAGAGTATCTGAATGAAGTTAACTGAAATGCTTTTAATCGAGATATTGCAAATACACATGCACTATCATGAACCTTTTTCTAATCCACATGGCCAACTTAATCTAACGATCGATTCACACGGTATCACAAAAATGCTAGGCCAAGCAATCTACACCCTATTAGGTGGCTTAGACTGATATCGTGGCTGCGCAGAGTGATGCGCTATGCTTCGATTTCACCATTCATAATTTCCTTTTGAACTATTCGGACGCCGAGAAAGTGTAACACATGTCTCTTATGAAAAAGAGAAGACGTTCAGCGAAGAGACTCTTTTCGACGGCGAATTCATTCACATAGCTGTACAATCGCATTTATATATAATTATTTTTGTGTGTGTGTGTGTGTACATGAGGTTTGTCAAGTTTAGATAATTGATCAGGTAATACAAGAATGATCTAATATAGGAAGAAGGTTAATCAGACAGCAAATAAAGTAAGATTGAGTTAGTAAGTTAAATGACGTCATATAATTGACTAAAGTGTTTCAACTTAGATCAGGGTAGCAACAGAGGTAATAACAGGTAGAGACTAAGTAGAGGTGGAGTAGGACTAAAGCTGAACCGTACTCAGCGTTCGCTATCCAAACGTATCACCGAACACTAACCAGCGTGGTTTTACAAAAGAGGAAAACGATCGCCCCGCAGCTCTATCTTAGAACATATGATAGATTCCGGACACCAAGCTACACCGCAAACAAACTTCAAAGTCGTCTATAGAATACGAAGTAGTCTTCCTAAGTGTACGAATCAAACTTCTTCAAACTGCAGAAGCAATGGCAATTCACTTGCTAAGTCCTGAACTCTGCATACAGAAGAAGTTCGTTCAATCACTACACTTGCAATGGACGTAATCTATCTTATTACCCGACAAGTATATTCTACCTAATCTCTTTTTCTGTCTCTTCATTAGTATTATTTTGTCTTCTCAATTGTAATATTTTACATTTTCAACTTTCTTGTTCTCTACCTCCAACCGATTTAATTTCTACACCTCACTGCCACTGTTACTGACTTGAACAATGCTCAATTTCTAGTCATTTATGTTACGTCATCCAACTTATTTGCTCAATTTCACTTCTACTTAGTCTCTACCTGTTATTACCTCTGTTGCTACCCTGATCTAAGTTGAAACACTTTAGTCAATTATATGACGTCATCTAACTAAGTGACTAACTCAATCCTACTTTAGTTGCTATCTAGCTGACCTTGATTCTATATTAGATCATTCTTGTATTACCTGACCAATTATCTAAACTCGACAAACCTCATGTACACACACACACACAAAAATAATTATATATAAATGCGATTGTACAGCTATGTGAATGAATTCGCCATCGAAAAGAGTCTCTTCGCTGAACGTCTTCTCTTTTTCATATGACTCAATGGGGATTTTCAAGCTACATGTCTCTTAGTCACCTGAATCTATGCTTCACCCGTGTCCTATGAGATGGCCAATGAAGGTAGAACACTCAAAGGCACTACGTTTCGATTGTTGCTGCTTTCGCGTCTGGTTGCTCACTATATGTGTAGGCAATAATCGCCAGTCACTTACTTTTATAACATGCGGAATATACACCCCGCATTGACACATTCATTGCACACGCTTACTTCAATGAAACATTACCATAATAAAAAAAAGCCTGTGCTTCGGTGGCACAGTGGTCAGGACTCTCGCCGACCATGCACATGGTCCGGGGTTCGATCCCCTGCCGGCGCACACCCGATATCTATGGTCGGCCTGAATTTGGGCTACCGATATCCATGCTGAAAATTCCACGCTTGTAATGAAAATACGGTGTGGAATCAAGCTGTAAATCAAAAAAAAATAAATAAATACTAAACTAACATACAACAAAATACATAGGACTTATTAAAACACTATCTATATATAGCGGGGAGGGGAGACGGGGGTGGCAAATGAGTAAACATTTATTTCTTACTTGAAACATGTCAACTTCCGACTGCATTAATTCGTGTGCTCGACTCAAAGGAGTTTCACACCGTTGTATGCATCGTTGTACTTCATCAATAGGTGCACTAGTGTTCTCACAGCATTTCAAACCGCAACGAAAGAAATTCGCCTATATATATAAACATGGTAAACATAAATTGTATTGTTAAAAAAGCTAACCTGTATTTTACGTAGATATCCAGTATCTAGAATACCTAAGGCTTCTTCCACTGATTTCTGATAGTTAGTTTGCAATTTGTTGAGATCACGTTGGAGCTGACAAAAAATAATAAAATAAAATAATAATAAAATAATAAATAATAGTTATGATGAATACGGAGAATGAATAATCACGTATATCTTATAACCAGCTATAAAATCAATAAACACCAGCTCCATACCAAATAGACCACACGAAATAAAATCAGAATGCCCACATATTTATAAGTATCGATCTACAAGTCTACGAAGGAATAACAATTTGTAATGGACTGATTTCTCCAATATTTCGTCATCTGATTCTCCTGACGAACGGGGGGGGGTTTCATGCTCATCCTGAAATCCACTAGTAATTTGGTTCATTGGCTTGGAAACTTGTCTTCCAATGAATGGGTTGAGGGTATGCATCTCTCTCCATCCACTTCAGCCTTTGTTAGTATCATTAGTTCTAAAACAATGAGTCGGTCGGTTTTCGACATAGAACTTTGCACATATGTGCGGCAGTTCAAGTCGCCACACTCCCTCCTCGTAGCACACAAAGCAACAGAAGAAAGTAGGAGAAATGCATAGTATAGACAGTAAACAGAGGTGTGAGACAAAAGAATAGTAATAACGAAGAACAAAACAGTTTCATTGGAAATCATAAGTCACAAGGAATGGATGCATCTGCGCCAGCCATTGAGAACGATTTTTGAGCCATATCACCAATTCTCGCCAGTCTCCATTGGTTTTTACCGTCCCGAGGACCCCAACCAGGAAGTCTACATCTTCCTACGAGGCTTAAACTAACTGTTGTGGATTTCATTGACTGGTGAAGCCATGTTTTGGTTTGACCGCCACTAGCTCTTTGCTAGCCTGACCCTATGTCAGCTAACATTGCCCGTCGAAGAAGACGACGACTAGACATACGTAACACATGTCCTAACCATCTCAATCGATGTAAATTCACAGCCTTGTCGACTGATTTCCCAGCTCACTTACCTAGCGCTCGACCGTTTCCTAACCTTAATATTACTCACCTATTATACCACTTCACATGGGGCATAGAATGCAGGCATCTATGATCACAGGCAGATAGCTAGCCTTTTCATGCCATTCAATCTCAATAGCTAGGTCTCACAGCCATAAAGGAGGACGGAGCGAACTGATGAGCAGTACACACGCCCTTTGATCGATAACCGCCGGATGTCACGTCTACGCTAGAGACGGCGTAAACTGGCATATGCGAAACTAACCCTCTGTATCCGTGCTGAGATTTCGTCAGAGATCAACCCGTTGGGGCTGATGGTACTTCCCAAGGAAGTGAAGCGGTCAACGTGCTCTACCACTTCACTTCCTATTTCTAATCTAGGAGTCAGTGTAGTCCAATCTTGTAACATCATCTTGCATTTGGTGGGAGCGAATCGCATGCCAAACATTCGTAGATTGCAGCTCAACTCTAATGGTAATGCTTTAACACTACATGGATTTGAAGGCGTTTGTTCAATCGGAAATACCAGTTTTCGTAGAGTACACTTTTTAAATAATGATGAGTAGTGTGTTAAGTAGTCTAAAAATCATAACAAAATTACTAGTTAATAATGAACTCGTCTAATCGATCACTGCTGATGTTAGTCAGGCTAAACCCACCAATATAAAAGTTATCGCAAATTCAAATTGGTAGGAGTTAGAATTCATACACTGTCCATTGAATCAGGTACCAGTGGCTCAATGGTATACGAGCTTGCTGACCTTATAAGCGGAAGGTCCTGGGTTCAAACCCCACTGGTGGGTGCTTACTGTCGACGATTATCAAACTAGGATGAAACAGCTGGCTGTCCAGTACTCCCTGCTGGTTTTCAGTGGTTCTCTCTAACTGATATAAGTCCTTGATTAATCAGGAATAGTTGGAAATGAACACAAAGTTTGACTGGGAAGTCCATTGAGAATCGCCTATCACCACTTGTACACTCACAATTTCCAAATGAGTTTCTAGTACTCCACATATAGCACGAACTATTCATGACTTTCAACTGGCAATTTCAAATGCCATTTGCCTCGAAGCGCTCATAGTTCAGCTAACGTTACTGACTGACTGGTTTCAACGTAGAACTTTGCACCGATGTGCAGCAGTCCGAGTCGCCACACTCCATGTAGCACACAAAGCAAGAGAAAGTAAACAAGAAATGCAAAACAAAGATGAGAAGCAAAAAGAATAGTAATATCGAAGAACAACATAATTTTATTGGGTATTATAAGTCAAAAGGAGTGGATGAATCTAACTGCGCCAGCCATGGAGAACGATTTTGAGTCATATCACCGATTGTATCCAGCTAGTCTCGAGGACCCAAACTAGGAAGTCTACACCATCCTATGTGGCTTAAACTAACTTGTGGATTTTATTGACTGATGAGATCATGTTTCCGTTTGAAAACCACTGGCTCTTTCCCAACCTATGTCAGTCGGCTAACATTAGCCATCCAGGGAGTCGATGGCTAGGCATATGTACGTAACACATGTCCGAACCATCTCAATCAATGTAACTTCACAGCCTTGTCTACTGATTTCTTCTTACCTAGCACTCGACCACGGATGCCTAACCTCAATATTACTCACCTTATCATGCCATCTAACACGGGAGATAGAACGCTGACACCCGTGATCACAGACAACTAGCTAACCTTTTCACATCTTCCACTTTCAATGGTCATCACTCACGGCCAGTCATAGAGGAGGAGAGAGCGAATATCACATCGATGCCAGGGGACGGCGTAAACTGTCATATGCCAAACGAGTTTACTGTATCTGTGCTGAGATCTCGTCAGCGATCAACCCGCTGGTGTTGGTTGATGAGACTTCCCGAATAAGTGAAGTGGTCAACACGCTCAATCAACTACTTCACTCTCTGTGTATCTTTAAGCTAGGAGTGGGTCGATGTAGTGGAGTCCTGTAGCATCATCTTACATTTAGCAGCAGGAGCGAATCGCATGCCAAACATTTGAAGACTGCTGCTCAAGGTGTTCAGAAGACTGCTGTATTTTGTCAGTGTCTTCACCTAGGAGGAGTATATCATCTGCATATTCATATGACACTCAACTGGAGACAAATGGACAATTTAACCAGCTTAAAAAAAATAAGAAACCACCTACTGATGAAGCAAAACATGAGAACAATACGACATGGATTTGATAGACATTCAATTACGTAATCCTTTTTTGCTTAATCAACACATATATTCGAAATCGGTAAAATCTTCGAAATATGGAATGAATACTTAATGTGATAAAATGTTGCACTTTTCCAAAGAAACTGGAAAACATTCACTGTTAGAAGTAACTGAGGCTTTCAACACAATTGGCCGGGAATTTCCGTCATATAATAAATATAGGTATTTCAAGTCCTTCAAAGAACTAGCATGCATAGAGGTGATTCAAGTCAGAATACTGAGTGCGAACACTCCTATTATCTTCAAAAAATATGCGCTAAATTTATGCCTTAAGTATTCATAGGAATATTGCTTTAGAACATATCTCCTGGAAGGCTCACTAGACAATCACTACTTTGACACGGAGTTGAAGATTGTCTACGCATATGAGAGAAGTTACTGTATGTCTCCCAGTCGAATGTTCTCCCTTCATTACAACAGTCTCAAAATCGGGTATAACCAGTCGAATGTATAATGAATATATACATACAAAGTCTATATTGACACCCTCAAAGCATCTAATTAGTACAAAAAGTCAATCCCTGTACTAGGATCATTGAAAATAACACATAAAGTGAATAGAAAGGTTTTTACCGTATCTGTTAATTTATCCATTGAAAGTCCGACTGGTAGGGTAAAATGACAAGGGACTTGAAGTTCTGCTTAAACAGGGTATGATTGAAATTTTATAAATATTGTGTTTTAGATCACCATATGGTCTGAAATTTAAAACAGCAACAACATATTTACAGTTAGAGAAAGGAGGATAGCAGACAAAATTTAATACCAGTTACAATACTCACTGTTTACTGCTCGATGCATAAAATATGATACCTCCAGCTATATCAGAAGACTACGAAACTTTAACAAATAATATTTTCCTGACTTGTGTGGCACGGCAGTTAGGACGCTCGCCGACCGTGCACATGGTGCGGAGTTCGATCCCCGGCCACCGACGCCACATTCCTTTAACTAGCTAAGCCAGAAATAAAGCTGGTAGAGAGGAAAGGTTGGGTATGAGGCTTGAAACCCCATCCTGTAAACGTAAACACTGCTACAGAAACTTCAAGCCTCTAGCTTGAAGCCCTATGTTCCACTGGGAACGTGAAGGAATTAATAATAATATAATAAATTTTCCCGACTAGACGGAAGCATAACACGATAAAAAAATTATTTCAGTACATTTAGACATATATACTCTACTTTTGGCAGCTACAACTCATTGTGCAGTCACACAAAATGAAACATAAAAATCAAAAGGTTTCCTGTTCAACAATGCATTTTACTCTAATTTTTTCCAAGTCCATCAATTAACGCAACTCAGAATCTAGTTAAACCAACCATGTGCATATAAAAGGAGGTTCGAAAAACGTCTACTGTACCGCGTAATATATATATATATATGCATATATGAGACAGAACAGTATTATGCATCCAAAACAGCCTACGAAAATAATTCCTCTCGTCCACATTGTGAAATGGAGGTTTCTGTGCTCGAATTATACAGTAAATTGTAAGAGGAAGGAATATGATGTAATTCATCATCATCATCTTCGCCTATCAAATGTCAAAGCGACTGCTCTAAACTTAATGGCTTTCTGTCAGAAATCAGCCAGTGGTCCAAGGAAAATGGTCTTACCCTAAACCCCTCCAAATGCCAAACGGTCAATTTCACCTTTAGGCATAAATCCGACCTAAACAAACTGTTTAGCTTCTACGAGGTATGCAACATAGACGGCACTGAAATAGAAACTAAATCGGAAATTAAATACCTAGGTGTCATTCTATCTGCTGATCTCTCCTGGTCGTCTCATATCTTAGCAATTTCTAAGAAAATATTCCGTCTTACCATCTACATTAAGAAGTTAAAACATTCTGGTATTACCCAATCCTTACTCCTACAATTCGTCAATTCTCGCATCCTGCCTATTATTCTCTATTGTTCCCCCTTAGTTTTTCCCGGGCTACTGAAGAAAGACTATAACATATTACGCAGGATGTTAAAGGTTGTCAGCAGGGTAAGCAACGTGCCACTTAACCAGCTTGTTAATATTCTGGTCGACAGGCACATCGACTCATATGAAAAATGGGCCAAATCCATTTTATCTAACTCACATCACCCTCTTCATTCATAACTCTCCCCTTGCATCTCATCAGGTAAAACCAGAAGCCTATATAGAAAACTATATGCTCGCACCAGCAAGTACAAAAACTCAACCATACCCTACTTAGCTCGTGTTCTGTGTGATAAAGAAAGCATTAGGCGTGACACCTATAATTCATTAAATAGTCAGTAGTATAACTGGATCTCGTCTTTCCAACCCACATCATCAATAGGTACAACATTTTCTTTTCCTTTTCTCTCTCTTCTTTTTCCGTTATGTGCTGCTTTGTCTCTTTCTCTCGCTTACGCCAGTTAATAAGACAGCTCCCACTTTTCTAACACCTTCAAACACTGTTTCAGCTTTACCTTTGCTGCTGACATGCCAATGTATTGTTGTAATAATGAACTGTGGTTTCCTCAATCTATGTAGAATTCTATTTATTGATAATGTACTAACTGGATGCAATACTGTAGTGAAATGCTGAGAATTCCATTCTGTATCACAAGTACTGTTTTGGAATAAAGCAAATTATTATTATTATTCATAAAATGTAGAGCATACACCATGTGAAACAAGTGAAGACAATGTACAAGGAAATATGTGTTAGTACTAGAACAAAAAAGAGGCAATATATGACGATAGAAGCTGTATTTGGAATTACAGACAGCGGGGAATAACTAGTTACGAAGTAAGGCAACTTGAATGCGATATTGAACATTTGAATTCGATACCATTACGAGCACATTGTATGTAAAGACAAAACCACATCAAAGTATCAATTACACAGTGGACGCTGTCGTGTATATAACTGAAACCAACTCCACATCTTATTAAAGTCCACCCTATTGTTGCAGAAATAATGTTGGTGAAGAGAAAAGGTTGGGCATGAGGCTAGCAACCCTATCCTGTAAATTAAACATTGCTACAGAAACTCCAAGTCACCAGCTTGAAACCCTATGTTTCAGTGGGGAACGTGAAGAAAAAACTGTTGAAGAAAACCTCACAATATCTGGGGAAAAATGACTTCCAATAGAGAGTGAATTCCGAAGATTACCAAAGTCGTTTTATTTCACACACAAACTAAGATTGAATATTGGTTTTTTATCAACATGCTGTTCTGACCACAGCTTCTGGAAAACTCTATAGGCTTTTGACAAGTTTCAAACGTATCTAGAAAGATGGCAACAGAAGTATTCCTAAGTGTCATATTCGCGAAGCTGACGGAATTCAAATAATCACTATTTATCTTCAGTGGACACAGCATCTAAATCGTTTGCACTGCTGTTGTATGCTCATTAAACCACTTCGCATTACCCGTGTCTGAGATAGCAACTATGCTGTTGTCTGTCACCAAAAGAACGGCGAGGCAATTATCTGCTGCTGAATTCTGAAAAAGGAAATGAAATGAATTGAAAATACAACGGTATTACTTTAGTACTTATCAGGTTGATATATATATATGCTGTTATGTTTTGCCCATCAACCTGATACGCATTAAAGTAATACTGCGGTATTTCCAATTCATTAGATTTCCTTTTTCAGAACACAACAGCTGATAAACATAGCCAGTAGTTTGAGAGCCACTTCTAAAAAAATGTCGAAAAAATCCTAGGGTGTAGAATCACTGTGTCATGCTGAATATATAAAATCAACCGTAGTTTGTGTGAGAAATAAAACAGCTCTTGTAATTTTCAGGATTCAGTCACTCTGGGAAGTCAGAGTTATTTCAGACATTGTGAGATTTGATTTAGCATCACAGTGATCTTGGGGGAAGTTATCGCCGTATAACTAACAGATGAATTTTATCCAGGGGTCCTGGAAGAAAAGCACGCTAATTATGAGACCCTCTTTTTAGGTAGTGAATTATATTTAAGATGGGATCTAACCATTTTTCTTCACCTTTGTTCATTCAAGCAGGTAAACAACCGGAGTTTTTGCAACATTAGGCGATAAGACCCTGAATGCTTGAATGATTTATTTAGTGAAAATCCATAAATCGTATTAATTAAAGACCCAACGGTAAAACAATCAACCTAAACTGAGTAATTGAAGTAACTCAACCTGAAGTAATTTCGAAACAGGTAGAACACGTGTAAATTGTAAACCCGCTCGTTTTAGTGTACAATGGATGGAAGAATACTTCAGCTATCCGCAGTGTGACATTTAACGAAGTCAAATAAAGAATATTATAACGAACATAATAAAGATAGTCGCGTTAGGGATGATTGGGATATTGAAAAACGGAAATGAGGGACTGTACAAATTAAAATTTAGACTTCGGATTTATTGATTTAAGATAGAAGGCTTTTGTCTGAATTTCTATGCTTGTCCACGCCCTTCTTGAGTGAGTCACTTGAGATTAATGATACTGCTTCTTCTGAGTGTCATTATCAGGAGCTGGTGACTGGTGAAACTCAGAAATATATTTTCTCCCTGGCCAGTACACCTTCTCAAAGTCGTACTAAACTCCAAAGAAGGGAGGGATGCCATTCTAAACAACTCTCGAACTCCTAAAGGATCAGGCGTATACGTCCGTGCTAACTTATACCTAGCAGACAACGTCTAAGGCAGTCTGCGGCTCTAGAATTAAGCGAACAACGCTGCATCGGCGAAAATAGACCTTAAGATTGTAGCGGTAAATAATTCCCCAAAATTATTAACCACAGCAATCATCACTCAACATTGGATGCTGACCATCACTGTTTAAGTCGACTTGTTTAGCTGAAGGCTTACGGTCAAGCATCCCCGCCATTTGGTGCTCCGTCGTGTCACGTGCGTGCACGATTACTAGCTAGCTAAGCATTCACCTCTACCCGCGATTTTGTCCCGAAATATAATACGTACTTTGGACGACAAAATCTGGTCTTTTGCTTTACCATTTGGTACTCGAAGAACGAACACTATAGAAGTTGTTGGTATAAGATCTTGCGTTAGTATAATCCGTACAACTCGCGAACGTCGATACCGTCAATCTCTAAACTGGTGAACCCGTCAACCACCAAACTGGTGAGCCCGACCACGAACTACATCTCCAATTCACACGCACATAAACCCGGTGAGTTCGTTCCTTTTTGTGTTTATTCTTGTACTATATTTTTATCGGCATACTTTTCGTCATGACTGACCTTAGCCCCAAGGTTATTCGCATACGATCAACCGCCAAAACAATTCAGCTAGTACCATATTGGCCAGATAATGCTGAAACGTGGTTTCAGATTGCTGAGTCCGATTTTTGTGAACATGGCATAACCGATCAACGTTCACAGTTCCTTGCAGTTATTCACGCTCCACAGCGGGAATTCAGTAAGTGCGTAACTCTGCAGATGTCGGTAAGTAACTCGTACGAGTTGCTCAAAGCATCCATCCTCAAGAGAAACGTTCTCACAGATCGACAACGTCTGGATGAGTTATTTCGTAACATCGAGTTTGGAGATCAGTCAGCCGTGAGCATGCTGGCAAGAATGAAAGAGATCATTGGCCAAAGTCAGTTCGATGAAGGACTGTTTAGAGAACTATTTTTAACCAAACTGCCACAGTCAGTTCAGACTGTACTTGTGACACTTCAGGGTGTTCTCATAAATGATTTAGCTGTCTCTGCAGATAAGATTCTAGAGATAACGAAACGGCCAGTTACCGAAGTATACTCTGTTACCGAACAGACTTCTAGTAAGGATTCTGCAATGATAGAGTTAATCAACTCCGTCCAGCAGATGCTTAGGTCAAACAAGCCTAGCAATTCCTCCTATCGTCGTTCTAAATCCCCTCAACGACTGAACGCACGTGGACTATCTAAGTCCAACACACGCTCTCCCAAAAATCCTGACTGGTGTTAGTATCACAACACCTATGGCAAGGAAGCAAAATGTTATCGAAAACCTTGTGATTTCGGCAAAGCCTCCAAGTCTGTGGGAAACTATCCCGCCGGCACGCCTTAGCGGCAACCGTCGCCGGTGGCACTAGCCGCTTACTTTACATCCATGATGTAATTAGCCAGACTAGATATCTAGTCGACACAGGCGCCGAAGTCAGCGTCCTTCCTGCTACAGCAGCAGATCGACAGAAGGATCCTAACTTCAACTTACAGGCTGCAAATGGAAAACCAATTGCAACGTATGGTCGGAAATACGTCTATCTAAACGTAGGTTTACGCAAACCTATTCAGTGGATTTTCCTAATCGCTGACGTCACAATGCCCATCATCGGCACGGACCTACTTAATCATCATGATTTGCTCGTAGACGTCCGCCGTAAACGACTAATTGACAACACTACTAGTTTGTCTATCAAAGGCATAACTTACGTAGGCCCCAGCTTGTCAGTCGTTAAGATGAAAGCAATCCTCGATCCAACTTTTCAACCGATTGTTGACAAATATAATAATATATATTTCCTATCAATGTAGAACACACCAGTTGTACAGGCATGGATAAGTATTATTTAAATTACATGAATTTGATTTATAGTGAAATTACATGGTTGCTGTCCTCTCTGATATCAGTTAGTGAGCACATTCTGATAGTTAGTCGTTCAATGGAGCACATAAAGAAATATAGAAATATTGTCTTCGCATTAACAAAAAAACCCAAGTACGTGTCGGATAAATTACAAATACTTGGGAAAAAAATAAAGCTTGAAGTCAATTCCTCCATACAACTTTGTTGTGTGCGGCATCGTATCTTGTTTTATGTTCAAATTGTGTATTAATTTAAAATGAGTGATTAATTTTTATGATTTTGACATCACTTAAATTGCAAGTAATACCAGATGTGAATTCAACTGAATGCAGATTAATATTGGTCATTGTCAAGCAGATTTGTTTTACTGAGCTCAAGTCACCCATAGCCCGCCATTTGTCACAGCATGGTTGTTCCGTACGAGTAAGTTGATAAACGCGTAGAAAGCTATATAAAAACCATTTTAGATCGTTGACAGTGCTTGTATAAGATGCTGTACAGCGTCTTGTTATGGTGACAGTGGATTTCATCAAGGATGCTGAGCCATTACTAGCCAAACCTTGAGGGATGATATATGAGTAAGTGACTTCAATTGTTTCTCAGCTTCATTCGGAATGTAGATCAATGCAACTTGTACTACAAAGTAAATACAACAGAAATGTACCAGAGGACAAAGAAAAACCAGGTCGAGTCTAAAACATTTGATTATATTCGTTGTACATTGTAATTTGATGAACAAAAATTTGTTTCTACTATGTCTTTTTATGCATTTATGCTACTAGTTTATTTATAGTCTTTAGGGAAGTAAGGGTATTTAAGCGCGTTTAGGTACTGTAGTAGACTAATAGTTGATTCGTTCTAGGAATAAATAGTTTATTTATATAGTCGGTAGAGTGAAATAGTGTGTACAGAGAGTGTTTGAAACTTAAAACTGTATTGCAGTTCCTGATATCTAGGGGCAGATTGTTCCATATTTTAGAATACATGACTGTGAAGAAGTTTTCGCGGAGTGTTGACTTAAAGGCTTTTATTGTCACTGTGCAATTTTGGTTACGCAGATCGTAAGAGCCTTCTTGCGCGAATTGTATGTCCTTAATGTCTGAGAATGATATTTTGTGTAGGACCTTATAGAAGAATACTAGGTTTATAATTAGTCGTCTTGTCCAGAGTGGGTCAAGTTGTAGAATCTTGCAACGTGAGATGTAGTCTTTCTTACATTCGTAGCCTAGTAGTTTCGAGGTAAAATATCGTTGGATACTTTCAATTCTTAGCTTTTCACGTGTGTGAGTGCTGCTAATAATAAATGGACAGTATTCTAGTAGTGGCCTCACACAGGTTTTGTACAGAATGAGCTTTGCTTCATTGTCGTGAAAGTTCCTGAGTATGCATCCTAAGAGCATCCTCGACTTTTGAGTCTGTGATGCCACTTGCTCAGAGAATGTTAGGTTACTCGAGTACCTCAGACCTAGGTCAACGACACTTTGGAGTTTCGTTAGGTTAGCCGATTGAAGCGTTAACTTTATGTCGATTGAGGGTGCACCGAAGCAGATCCAGCCACATTTTTTAAGGTTAAATTGGAGGTTCCATAAAGACGACCAAGCAGTCACTTTATCTAGTTCTTTTTGTACAACATTCTGGAAGTACCCTAGGTCATCAGGTTGGAATGTATAAGCTACTTTGAAGTCATCTGCAAAGATGAATGGTTTACCATGAGTAAAGCAAGCGCATATGTCGTTAGTATATAGGGTAAATAGAAGGGGTCCAGTGACACTACCTTGTACTACACCAGAGGTGATTTGGCTAGGTTTCGAAGTTATAGATCCGAGTTTAACTATTTGGGACCTATTGTTAAGGAATGATTTAAGCCATCCTAATAGCGGGTCACTTATTCCTAAGGATTTCAGCTTGTGCACCAGTAGTAAATGGCCGACACGGTCAAATGCCTTTGAGATGTCAAAGTAGATGACAAGTACTAGTTGTCGTCTGTTACGACTGCTGGTCACAAAGTTAAAGAAGTCTAAGTGGCATGTTAAACAAGATCTGGATTTTAGGAATCCATGTTGGTTCGGACTTATAATATTGCAGCTAAGCATATGCTTCATTAGGTTTTCTTTAACTAGTCTCTCCATAATTCTAGAAGCTATAGGTGTGATATTAATTGGCCTGTAGTTACTGACGTCTGTTTTCGAGCCAGATTTGTGTTCAGGCATAATAAACGTTGTTTTCCATACATCAGGGTAAGTTTGGGTTTCTAAGGACATTGTGAATATTTTAAGCAGGAGTAAGGGAATGTCAGGGCCACCATATTTATAAAAATAGGATGATATGCCGTCAGTACCGAAACCTTTTGAGCATTTTAGGGTTCTTATAGTTTGTTTAATGTTAGTATAGTTAAATTCAATAGTGCTGATTAAGTTTGGTGTGTGTGGAGATGGAGTTTGTGCCACATTAGTAGCAGGGTGTATATTGAGTAACTGGACTGTGGGCTTAAGGTAGTTACCTGCAAAAGTTGAGTTGAATAATTCACACATGTTTGCGGAATTAGTACATAGCCTACCTTTGTCTATGAGGAGGGAAATGCTGTGATTTTTGCGATTCATTCGCTTCTTTAAGATTTCCGTGAGTGCATACACTCTAGCAGGACTGGCTACTGCGATGCGTTCTTCGTTTCTCATACGGAAATTTCGAGCT